GATTGGGGGGGCAAGGCGGGCGACGGAAGGCCGATGCCTCCGTTGCCCGGCCCTCTACAGAATCCACCCCCCAAACCTCCAGGTATTTCCCTCCTTAGAGCTGGCAACCCTACATTCCCCTCAGTGCCTGTTGGTAGGCAACTAAGCTTGGTCCTGTCACCTACTTTGGCCTTTGGGAGAAAACACATTGGGGCCAATCCTGATAGGGTTGCCAACTCCAGATGGGAAATTCCTGGAGACTTGAGGGATGGAGCCTGAAGAGGGTGAGGTTTGAGGAGGGGTGGGACCTCAGACAGGTACACTGCCATAGACTCCACCCTCCAAACCAGTCAGTCCCACATAGGGAACCATTGTTGCCAATCTCCAGGTGAGGGCTGGAGAGCACTCAGTATTACAACTGTTCTGCAGAAGGGAGGGCAGAAGTCAGCTGAAGTCAAAGGGGCAGATAATGGTAGGTTGGTGGCTAGCTGGGAAGGAGATGGGGTTGCCAACTACATGCTGACAAATTCCTGGGGATTTGAGGGGTGGAGCCTGGAGAGGGTGGGGTTTGCAGAGGGGTGGGACCTCAGACAGGTAGAATGCCATAGACTCCACCCTCCAAACCAGCCATTTTGTCCTGGGTAACAATTGTTGCCAATCTCCAGGTGAGGGCTACAGATTACTCACAATTACAACTGCTCTTCAGGTAGCAGAGATCAGTTCCTCTGGAGAAAACAGTGGACTCTGTCATTATACCCTGCTGAGGTCACCACAGCAAATTGACACTGTTTGCCCAAAGCCAGAGCACTGCCCCAGAGCCTCTTTCTAGATCTCGTTGTATTGCTTTCACAACGGGCTTTACTGCTAGTAAGACTCCATAAAGTCCCACGGACCTTGGCCGATACAAATGAGAAAAAAACTTCTCAAAAGAGTTTGCACTCCCTTCCTGGCATGTTTGTGAGACATACCAGCCAAATCTTCCACTTGGAGACAGCTGATATTAAGAGAAAACCTTACAGAGGAATGAATCCAGTTATGAATCCTTATATGGCCTGGGACCAACATATCTAAGGGACTGCCTCTTCCTGTACACTCCCATAATCCTGTACAATCCTGTACACTCCCATAATCAACATCTCCTGATGGTCCATGGCCCAAAAGGATGTCTGTCTAGCCTCGACCAGGGCCAGGGCCTTCTCTGCCCTGGGGGAACACGCTCCCCATCGAGATCAGGGCCCTGTGGGATCTTATTCAGTTCCACAGAGCCTGCAAGACGGAGTTGTTCCAGCAGGCTTTTGGCTGAGGCAAGGGGCGTCCACGCATGGCCTCCCTGAGGTTGCCGTCTCCCGCCCACCATCCATCCATCCATTGGTAACCGGCCATATCCATCAGTATTAATGCGTTGGAATGTTCACCAGTGGCTATAACTATGGATTATAAATGCTTATAATGTAAATGTTTTATTGTGTTTTAAACCTTACTGTATTATTTAAGATGACGTGGCCCGCCCTGAGCCCACTCACGGGATGGGCAGGATATAAATACGAAAAATAAATAAATAAATAAATAAAATCTTTCACCTGGGGTTGCCAAACTCCAACTGGGACAAACGTAAGAAACACCATGTTAGAACAAAACACACTCTACCAATATGCATTTGGGTCTTCATATATTGATTTAAATACAATAGAGACCCTAGTGTATCTTATACATATCTCTCCTTATATATATTTGAGTTTTTGTGCCCCTCTTGCCTCAAAGTTCCACATGCTCCCACAGCCTTTGGCTGCCTGTACTGTCACTCCCATGGTGTGCCAATCCAGTGCCTCGGTTGCTGCAGTCTCGCCCACCACAGAAGCAGCAGCCAGCATTGCTTCCTCAGTGTGGTGCCAGACAACGAGTGGGAAGGACGTCTGCTGGCCCAAAGCGGACGAGCAGAAGAAGCCTCCCAGAGGCCCCCCTGCCTCCTCCTGGCCTGCCCGCTGAGGCAGGCGAGTTGGGAAGGGACCGGGGAGGCGTTTAAAGCCAGGGAGGGCCCAGGAAGGGGGGCCCCGCGGCGACTGCTGCAGGACCCTGCATTCACCCAGGCCCTCTTCCTAGAGCTCGTTGCATTCCTTTCTGCAAACAGGCCTTTCTCCTAGTTCATTGAAATACAAAAAACTGCTGCATCTCTCATGCTCGCTTTGATGCTTGCTGAATCACTTTTTATGGAGAACATAACCGCCTGCTGCATCTCTCATCATTTACGACTCTTGCAACCTTCACCAGTCTCTTATCAGGAGCAAGATAGTATCTACAGCATCGGAATAGGTCTCTGTAGCTGTGGACTTTTCTGGTAAAAGATATATAACGTGCTTTAGGTTTATAATGAATATGTATAAGATACACTAGGGTCTCTATTGTATTTAAATCAATATACAAAGACCCAAGTGCATATTAGTAGAGTGTATTTTGTTCCAGCACGGTGTTTCTTCATGTTTGTCTAACTTTTCCGTGTTTCCCGTGTGTTTGATGAAACTCCAAGTGGGGCCTGGAGATCTCTCCGAATCACCAGTGATGTCCAGATGACAGATCAGTTCCCCCAGAGTAAATGGATGCCTTGGAGGCATTATACACCACTGAGGTCCCTGCCCACCCCATCCTCCACCCCCAAATCTCCAGGA